ACAGAAACATGCGAGTTGCTTATCCTTGACAGATCTGTAGATCAGGTTTTTAGGTGCATGTGTTGGTTATAAAAACATATCATGCTTAGTGGTCCTTGTCTTTATTATTATAATGAATATTCTCATCTGAATTTTCAGATTGCACCTATCATACATGAATGGACATATGATGCTATGTGTCACGACTTATTAAATATGGATGGAAATAAATATGTGCATGAGGTAAGTTGAAACATCCGTTTATGTACATATGCTTTCAAATTTTGTGATGGATACTTTATCAAGGAACTGTATGTACAGGTTCCAAGCAAAACTGGTGGTCCACCTGAGAAAAAAGAGGTTCTTTTAGAGGATCATGATCCAATCTGGCTTGAGCTTCGCCATGCACATATAGCAGATGTATGTCCTGTGCCTATACTTATCTTCTGGGATTCCTTAGCTTTTTTATTTTTAATCACAAACTACCCTTGTCAGGCTAGTGAAAGGTTGCATGAGAAAATGACTAATTTCATAACAAAGAATAAGGCTGCACAAATCCACCATGGTGCAAGGTTCGTGTATATTTACTCTTAAAAACTGTCATAAGCGATGTACTTATTTCTTTTTTTTTAAATGAATTCGAATTATTTATTTATTTCCTAACTTTCCTTCAATATGGAGATAGCTATAAGACACCATTTTGGCTAGAATCTACATCTAAATGAAAATTGGTTGGCATGTAATATTACATAAAATACCCTTTTATCATTTGAGTTGCGCCTAGGATCGCTCTATAAAGGGCAATGCAAATGTCTATCTGGGTTTTGCTGACACCTGGAATGACTCCACTGTGTAAGATATTTCCATATTGTGACTGCTCCCCTTCCAAAAAAAGGATATGTGATTTGCTCTTTTAGGATTTTTATTATTGGTATTTAAATTTAACCCAAATTTGTGTATATATAAAATAATTTGATCTTTAATCATTTTCATGCCTTTTTTTCTTCTTCTATCGATTGTATCATACATGTAAATTTCTGTTTAATGTTTGGAAGCTTATGCAAGTCTATTTGGTATGTCAATTTCTGTCTGGTTCTGTTTCTCACCTAAACATTCACCTTTATATAGAGATGCTCGGGAACTATCTACGAGGGACTTGCAAAAGATGGTTCAAGCATTGCCGCAATACAGTGAACAAATTGACAAGCTATCCCTTCATGTTGAGGTTAGTTCTTTGATAGAGTATCTAATTTAAAGTATCTGTTTGATTTATAAAGTTCCAACAAGTTAAAAATTGGTTTAAGGATTTAAGTTGCCTAAGTATATATGAAAACAACTTATGACAGTGGAGTCTTATTTGTTGTTCATTTGTAATTTCTATTATCTAATAAGGTTCTTAAAAAGAACGTGTTTCTCAGCCTTTAAACGAATGAATTATATGGATTGAGATATATTCATCCAACCAATTATCCTTTTGCCAATAGCTTATTTGCAAGCTTTGTCCAAATTTGTTTTCTTTTTCCTCCTTGAACTTGCCAATATCCTATTGGAAAAGATAATCGAGGTTTCATTTTTACCTAACCAAGAGGAGAAGCAACACAGTAGATCAAATTTCTGTTTCACAGAAAATACTAAATAAAAGTATAACGGGATAGAAGTGACAGCATATTGAATGACCAAAAGAAATTTCAAGCTGTTGACTTTTAAGTATGATAGCCATGGCTTTAGGCAAAATTTGTTTATTCCAGATTGCAGGGAAAGTTAACAGAATTATCCGGGAGCTTGGGCTTCGAGAACTTGGACAGCTGGAGCAGGATCTTGTTTTTGGAGATGCAGGAATGAAAGATGTGATCAAATTTTTGAATACAAAAGATGTAAGAAGCTATAGAAGTATATATATGGACGCACCAGATTCCTTGTCATCATATTTTGTAAATAACATGTACCATTTTTATGCAGGATACGACTGGTGAAAATAAGTTGCGGTTGTTGATGATTCTTGCAGCCATTTATCCTGAGAAATTTGAGGGTGAGAAGGGTCACAATTTGATGAAGGTTGGTACCACCCAAGGTCAATCAATGTATAGCCTTAGACAAGTGTTCATTTGTGATAAATTTCTTTGTTTTCAGTTAGCAAAATTACCACCCGATGATATGAATGCTGTGAATAATATGAGATTGCTTGGGGGATCATCAGATACCAAAAAAAGCTCAATAGCCACTTTTTCTCTGAAGTTTGACATGCATAAGGTGAATGTATATATTAGAATTTTTCTTTAGTTCTTTCAATCGGTTCACCGATATCTAACAAGAGGCTATTCAATTATCAGAAGAAACGTGGAGGTAGGAAAGAACGTCCAAGTGAAGGAGAAACATGGCAGCTTTCGCGTTTTTATCCCATCATAGAGGTACCTTTTAGTTGGTTTGGTTTGTACCCTTCTGAGCATATATGGAATGAATGGTCTGGCTTGTCATATGATTGGATGTCAGTTTATGGTAATGCTTCCAATCTACCTCTAAAATGTATTGGTTCCTGTTTTTGGGACAATCAAACCAAATATAAATGAGTAGCTTGTCTGTTAATTCGATGGCCATGGTGTTGAAGCTTTTGAATTCAAATGAAAAACAAAATATTAGTACTGATACATATTTATAATTGCTCATGTTAAGGTGATTGAGTTTTGCATTTATAAAACCTTTATGAGAAGGCATCTAATGATTCAATCGTCCTAAATAGAAGCTTTTGTCTCCTTGAGGGTTTACTGTGCTAGCAAAGAGTGATTCCTTTAATGTTGGGGTGGGCAGGGTATTGTTTCTAGTAGTGTTGTTATTGTTAGAATAGAGAACAGACTTGGAATTTTGGAATTGCTACTTCTATTTGGCCTGTGCTTCATTTTATTGATCTTTCTTTATAATGTTTTCTTGTATTCAAATGGATCTTTCATGTGAAATTCGTGTGCTTAACCAAATAAAAAAATAATTTTTTTTTTAAAATGTAGCATTTGTTTGCTGATGAAACTCACCTGGAGAAATATCACATGTAATTAAGGGCTCCATCCTATAATCATCACCATGTCGTGAGTCTACCATGCAACTCAGTTCCAATGGTTAAACCTACAAAGTTACGGATTTTGTATCCAAAATTTTCTCTTCTTTCAGGAACTTGTAGAAAACCTTAGCAAAGGTGAACTGTCTAAGGAGGATTATCCATGTTTAAACGACCCAAGTCCAACTTTTCACGGGACATCACATGGTGCAGCAATACATCAACCTCCAGTTGCTCATTCAATGAGATCAAGACGGGCACCAACATGGGCACGGCCGAAGAATTCTGATGATGGGTATTCTAGGTATCTTGTCACACTCTGTGTGCTGAGTTGTTATTCCCTTCATTATCAAGAAACCCTAAATAATCAGGGCTACTTATGGGATTATGCATTGTGAAACCTACCATATATAGTAGTTGTGTGTCCTTCCAATGATTATTTATTTACTTTTCTCATAACTGTAATTTTATTTTTTTTCCTGCTGCCTGTAGTGATTCAGTATTAAGGCATGCTTCTAGTGATTTCAAGAAGATGGGACAACGCATATTTGTAGTTATAGTAGGTGGAGCTACTAGATCAGAGGTACAAAAGTGTTCCACTTGTCCTTAAATGAAGTTATGATAATTGCTTTTTCTTGTTATTGAGCTGAGAAATCATGTTTCATTTTCAGCTTAGGGTTTGCCACAAGCTCACAACTAAGCTGAGGAGGGAAGTTGTTCTAGGCTCCTCATGTCTTGACGATCCTGCACCTTTTATTACGGTAATGAACTTTAGTTTTGATCTTCAAAGCTTGAGTAGACCTAATATCGTCAGACAAGTTCTCCTACCATCCGCTCCAACTAGCAGTAATTTTAAAATGCTGTTGGCTGTTTTAATTTGCAGAAACTAAAAATGATGACGTCAAACGAGCTCTCATTGGATGATCTCCAGATTTGAATGCGGAGGATGCCATGGGAAAGGCTGGGAATGACATTGGTTGTCGCCAATCCAATATGTAACCATAGATGTGCTGCATCATCTCCATATCTATCCTTTTTCCTCCTTTTTTTTTTTTTTTTTTTTTTTTTTTTTTTTTTAAAGACCCTACCTTTTGATTTTGGTAGTGGCGCGTTAGACATTCTAGATGGAGCTTAGGCTCTGTTGTTGGTTCTGTGAATCTGTATTATATTGACATGCTGAATCCAGTATTAATATGACCATTAGAAATTCAAAAAATTGAAGCCGAACAACTTTTCTTGCTGCAATGAGGATTGGCACTTTCTCCATTCTAACAGCAGTCATAATACTTTGCCCAGGATGCTTAGGCGAATCTCCATGATCATTAAAAACCTGTTGATTTCGCCATTTCCAAACATTCCAACAAATGAACACAAACAGGGTGCACCGGTCAAAATGCACTCCACTTGGCTTTAGACAGCAAATTCCTTAACAGCCGTGGTTCAAAATCAGCAAGAAAAAACGTACTTTGAACATTCAAAAACAAAGCCCAAACCTCCCTAGCCCTTGGATAGAACATGGAGGAGAGATTCAGAATGCCATCCGCAAAAATTGCAAGAAGGGTCAAGGGTTAACTCCCTTCTCAACCTCTGTTCATTAGAAAGCGCTTTACCTTGTAGCGCAAGCCAAAGAAAGATTTCCAATTTAGGAGGGATTTTCCACTTCCATAACAGAGCTTCCTGCTTCTCCAAAATCACTAAAGAGAAGATTATAAGCAGATTTAAGTTAGCTGAAAAGGCCCCAAACCCAATGGGATATTTAATAATTCGTTGCACCACCTAAACCCTAAACCCTAAACCACACTCCTAAGACTCTCCACATCTCCCTTTCCATCTCGCCACCCAATACCTTTAGCCAACAATTCAGAACCATGTAAAACACTTTTCCAAGTGGAATGATCTAATCTGGTTTGCAGACAAGGATCCAAAATAGATTGTCCCCTAAGGATCCAAAAAAGAACAAAAAAATATCCGAGTTATGTTGCACGAGCAACCAAAACAAGAAGAAGAACCCACTCTGTTGAGAATGGCAAAGGTGAAATAGATATGGTGTTTACATGAAATATTTTTATTTATTTATTTAATGCCCATGAATAAAGAGACTCAATGGTTTACTAAGTGTTTTTATTAGAATTTGGGTCTAGTTTCCGTGATATAATTGGATTTTGCTTTGCAGAAACAGGCCAAGAAGGAATGAGGAAGTACCCCCCAGGCAACACGAGAAGGCCAACCAGAAAAACCCCAACCAGGGAATAGTTGGCAGGAAGAAGGAAGTAGCCCCCGGCAGCATGAGAAAGCCAACCAGAAAAAACCCAAGAATGATGGCAAACCGAAAAGAAAGCGAATGTAGAAAACAAGCTGGAATGTAAGACGATGTTAAATGCGAGAAGGATTAGAGAGGGAGAGAGATAGAGAGAGAAATCGACTTGGATTGTAAGAAACCACAAGTGACCATATCAGTCTCTCCCAAAAGCCTGTCTGGTGGTCTCTGCATTAGTGCATGTTTCTGCAAACTGTTAAGCTTGAATGGATTCTTTTGTTGCACAAATTGGAGAAGAAGGGACATGCGTCTGTTGCTTTTTATTAATACTATTGGGATAACTATTTGGTAATGTACGGCTGAAATATTATTGACTTTCTACTACCTTTGAGACTCAATAGACTCATGTACGGCTGAAATATGCTCATAAGCAATTCTGCACTAAAAGAATACATTTATAACTCAAGACACTTTTTAACTGTTTCTGCCAAATGCATGAAAGCTTACAATATTTTTTCTATAATAAGGCGGTTTTCATGAATTCGATAAATACATTCGCCAAAAAGGGGGAAAAGAAACAAGAATTCCAGTACACAATTGAGCAACAATAAGACCTAGAGCATTCTAAGAGGCATAAAACCTGGCACCAAATGGCTGCAATTTGGGCGGAACTGTGACAGCTTGGAATATAGGTTTTACTGAGAAGGCCTGCAACTCTATTACCTATCTTTCTTTATAAACTGTCTTCTAAGTTCTAACTATGCATTCTTTCGTGACGATTCTGCAGATTACTACATTCACTTCAATAACCCAAAGCACTAATAAGTGCAGAGTTCTTTTGCCTTTCTACCAAGTAGACTCTCTGCTTTTCTCTTCTTGGTTTCACCAAGCCTCTTTACATAGGCAATGTATCCATCCACATCAAATTTCCTTTTGCAGCCTGCATAGTTCATGTAACGTATTTTCCCAAAAATTGGACGTTCCTTCCAACCCTGAAATGCCATAATGAAGGATCAAATGAGAGAATCTCAAAGAAAAGATGAACATTCTAATTTCTATGCGATTCATAAGCTCATGGAATCCAGGACCACATCTAACCTAACATTTGTAACTTTGTATCGCATCCAGTTATCGATGGAAAGATTCAATTATGGAAAAGTTAAGATGAAATACAGCTGATATAAAACGCATCACCCAAAGCAAAAAGAGAAATGGACACAGACCTGGTCGTGAACGCCACATACTGACCACATGCAACCAACATACCCATTCGGATCCCTTCCATCTATTTCATACTGCAAGAGTTATGAGGCAAAGAATCTAGGTGAAAATTTTGTAACCACCTCCATAAAAGCATTAGAGAACTTAACTTTTTACCTTGTTATTTAGGTATATGGATATTTCAAGGGCCTCTTCAGGACCTCTTGTCCACTCAAGAATCTTTTTTGCCCAATACATCCTGCACATGACTTTCAAAGTCTCATTGGGTGGATGACAAAATCAAAATTTCACACAAGAAAATTAAAAAAAGTAAAGCCAACAAATTTTCCTGTTGTGACAGAAAACATTACCAACATTACGATATTGGCAAGTGAAATGAGAATGAAAAAGTAAAAAGAAGCCTATTGGGACTTAATGAAACACTAACACAGCATGCGATAATAATGTAAGCAAACATAGCAACCACAATGGACATCATGCTCAGTAAATAGCAGCATTGCATAAACAGGACGACAGAACTCCATAATTTTGTTTTTCTTAGAGATCAAGACATAATAATTCAATGAGAATCCACGAAGTTTACAAATATCAGAAAACATTTATAAAAAAACCCTAAGCAGAACAGTAAACTATTAAACCATGAAGAGAATATAATCCATCAAAAGGTTACTTGCCGCATAAAACCATGCATCTTCCCATAATAAACCATCTCCAATTGAGAGGCATTCCAGAGCTGAAAATCAAGAGCACAAGAAATAGAAGGTCAGTAAAGATTGATACAAAAGAGGACCCAAAGACATATAACTGAGTTCACAAACAAATACATAATCTGCACAAAGCGCAACATAATTATATAAAGGTTGAACAGGAGGAGGTAGGATAACCTAGGCAATGTTCAGATACACCCAAAATCTCATTCAAACAAGACATGAAAGACAAGCCCAGAAAATCAACTTACAGGATCGGCTGTTTGTGCCTTCTCCAATTGCTCCTTACTGCAATTTCAGTATTTTGTTCAGATAGTTCATAACCATCACTTCACAAACAAAAATAGCAGAGAGCAACAAATCAAAACCAAGATACTGACGTGTAAATATGTTCTCGCTTATCAAAAGCATGGTCCATCAAAGTCTTACGTGCCCATTCCCATGCCCCTTGTAATGAATCATAATGAGGCTGGTAGAAGCAGAAGTTATCGGCAAGTTCTCGGCGCACAATCAACTCCTCTACAAATGCATCGACTGCCTTAGATACCACGTAGAAATAGGAGTTAAGCAATATATCATGCACAATAACTTAGCATAAAGCAAGAGACGAATTAATGATATATGACAGCAAACTGTACTAGGTTCTTGGTGCTATGGCAGAGTCACACAACATATAATGCAAAATCTAGAGCAACAACAAATCAAATAGTCCGACTTCAACTTGATTAAGAATAGTTAAACCAGAATTTGATATTACTAACCTCAGGACAGAGTTTCCGGACGCTACGTGCCTCTAAGGCGCACCTCTGTGCAGATATTTGCCCAAAATGCAAATAGGGAGAAAGACCCGAGAGACCTCTTGGTTTCAAAGGGTTGTTCCGGTCTGACGAATAACCCTTCAACCTTTTCGTCAAGAACCCATTTTTGCTACCCATCAAAACTTCCATTGCCGCCTTTTCTCCCGGTTCACACCAATCAATTTCAGGAACTTCTGCTCCTTTCCTAGTTATACACAAGTAAAGAATCAACAATGGAATCCCCAATAATCCCAACTAATTGTCAACCAAAGTAAAATGACACCTAACCTCAAAACTTCGTCAATGAGGCTATCCCAGTCAATCAATCGACTAGTGCCCACCCATTTTGTAACTGGTGGCTGCAGCATTGGAAATTCGATTAGGTACTCTGGAAGCTTTTTGTTTATCTTACTCCTTATAGTCCTAGCACTATACTCCAACTTCTCTGATGCCGCCCAAAGGGGCACCACATTGTGTGCATCAACTTCATGTATTGTCACAAAATCACTAACCCTCTTGCAAATTTCCTCTTTACATTTCCGAACTTCCCGTAAGGGTGAGAAGTCCGTTACTAAAAGTGAAGCCCCACATTCACTCACAAAATTGGGTATAGTGTCCTCAGCATTTCCCTGTGTGTAAAAATAGAAACCAAACAAACAAGTCCCCATATATGAGTTGTGGACCGTCATGAGATTCCAGAAAGCCAAATAGAGCACATTATTTCAGGGTAACAATCAATTCCAATTTTTTTTATTCTCAGAAACCAAACACAAACAGATTACAAATGCAAAAAAGACCAAATGGGTATTAGAAAAATGTAGTCTTTCACTTACCCGGAAGAGAAAAAATGGAATTTGATGCGTTTCTTCAAGATCACGATGCAATTGTCGCAAACCCCTCAGCATAAACCCTAACTGGCGGGCTTTGGCGCCAAGAAACTGATCAAACAGATTGAACGCCACAGCCACGGGGACATTGGCCTTGTGGGCCTGCTCAACGGCGTGGATCAAGGCCCAATTGTCTCTAACCCTTTGGTCTCTGAACATCCAGTAGACCACGGGACCCATATTTTGACCAGCCGATTTGGACGCTTCTTTCAGAATCCGAACCCGACCCGGTTGCACGGCGGCGGAGTTAGCGGCCATGGATGAGTGGACGGTGAAGAGGAAGGGGAAAAGAGGGTGCTTGCTAACGTGCGCAGGAGGTGAACGGATAATGTGGGCCAGGGTCGGTGGGTCGGTGGGTCGGTGTACGTTAATGGGGGAAGCAACAGAGAATGTGAAGTACGTAGGAAATGAGAGAAGAAAAGGAGGGAAACCAAACGGCTAAAGGTGTGGTTTTGAAAGGACATACGTGGATTAGTTTGAACCTCGGATTGGTTGTTAATACAAAATTTGGTTCTTATTTAATTGGCCTTGGACTTTAGCCCAAACATAACTCTTCTGTTCCCCTTGCTGGGCTTGGACTTTGGCCCACCTAAAATATCTCTTTGGATCCATTCCTGAAAATCGGAGTTCATATCACGGTAATAAAAAAAACTTACATGTAACAGTTGTATACGTATAAATGATCACATTGTATATACTCGTTACATGAAAGTTATAATGATTTGATACAATTGTCTAAGAATTGTGGTTTTGATTTTGAAAATATAGATTTTATTCTTGAAATGTCAACCCTTGCTCATTGCCATACCTGAACTATACTGATATGATGCTTAACAAAAGTACCTAACTTTTTTTTTCTTCTTTTGCTTTTGTTTTTCTGTTATTGCCCAGAAAACCATTATTATGTCTATGACTTTCTTTATTTGTGGTTCCCCAACAGTTCTTAAACCACTTTCCCTAATTTTGGTGCCTCAATTAACGCATACATTCTCTTCAGGCTACAACAGTGCGTTGCGTATGCCTTAATCATTGGAGTTTATATATGATATCAGTGTTCAACTAATTTTGAGTTTATAATCTTAAAAATTAGATGCTAATGAGTATTGAGTTATAAACTAATCTGCAGCCAAATTAGTGACACTCAAGTAATTACACTAACCCATGATTTATTTGGTTTTTTTGGGACAAATTTTGATAACAAAACATGTATCAATGCATCATTCATCATTTCATAGTTTTTTTATTTATGAAATATGAGCGACATTGTGAGAGGGTGGGAATCAAACACATGATCTTAGATGCATGAATAAATACTATTAACCACCGGAGATACATACCATCATTTGTTAACACTAATAAGGGTTTCCACCCCATTTTACATGGGTTAGGTTAGAAGTACAACTTCTACTCTTCTAGTATTACAATTTTTTTTTCCTTTTAAAATTCTTCCACTCATACTCTCTTTCAATTTTGTGACTTGTTAGGTGTACTACACCAACAATTGTGTATTTTAATTGCAGCACATGGGAAAAACAAATATTGTTATAAGAATTTATGGGGAAGTCCCACTTAATTTCTTTTGTCCTAAGCAACCCAATTAGTTGGGAATACATATATGATGCACCCACCAAATCTAATTTCCAGATTCTATACAGTATAAAGTGGCTAAAGCTGAGACTGAGTATTGAGTACTAATGAGACATTTGGGCAAATGGGTAGTGGTTGGGTATGAAACTTTACTGAAATGACACCTTTCTTCTACATTGCCAAAAGCCCAAAAGGTGTATGAAACTTTGAAGTTGAAGTGAGAAAGATGAAGGGCAATTTAGGCTCTTTCTATATAGTATATGGACTACAAAATGAAGCACACACTTTGGTACATATGATATAAAAATACTGACAAAGAAGACATCATCAAATGAAAGCACAATTGACTGCTGAAAAAAGCCCCTAAAGGAAAAGGTTAAAAATCAAAGGGTGCTGAATCAAATTATGGTAATTGGAGATTTGCCCCCACCATGAGAATTCTGTCAATGCCACCAAAAGCAAGCCACATTTTTAACATTAGTCAAATCATAAGCACCATAGTCACAAGCACTTAATAATATTGTTTAGTGTTAATTTTCTTATACTTACTTTTTCTTTAATATTTAGGATCTGTAACTGTTAATTTAATATGACGAGCAGAATATTAAGAGGGAAACGCTAGCTACTTTTTCTCGATTTGTCTTTCTAAATTATTATTTTACCTAATATTTTGACATGTGAATTCCACTTAAACAAGAAACAAAATACGAATTAAAAAGATGAACGGGAGAATGACAAATGAGAACGATAGCCAGCAATTTGATATTAAAAAAGTAATTAGGGTTATAAGGAGCTAGTAATAGGGTAATGACTCAGTTGAAAGAAATGGAAAGTAGAGTAGAGTAGCCATGATTTCGTTGGTTGTCTGTGAAAGGTGAGTGTTAACTAACTAAAGCTTAATTAAATAATTAACGGAAATTGATTCATGTACATGAGATAGAAATTAAAAGGCTGCTATTCATTTCATATTGTGACATTTCCTCTGTGTGCACGTGAGCAGTTTCCTTCAGACTTTTTATTCACAGTTTACGCCAGAAATATTAACATTTGCTTCTAATGTCAATCATGATTATCTCAAGTCTACAAGAGTTTTCCACATGCTTTAAACCAATTATGACAATGTTTCTTTTTTCAACACAAGCGAGACATTGGAGAAGGAGGATTCGAACACGGGACCTTAAAAATTAGTAGCACGCGCTGGGATGTGGGGGCTTGTATTTTTTTTTGTCTTCGCCTAGAGTCCCTAGAATCTTGCTCAGTTTTTATCTGATGCAGATGACGGATCATGAGATCATGCATGAAGCCAAGCTGCAACTACAAGTAATCACAAACAAAACAATTATGAATTCCAATCCAGCGAGTCAATAGCATCAGCCCCAAAAAAACAAAAACAAAAACAAAAAAAGAAAAACCAGCAGAGCCGCAGCAGACTAAAAGTGGACCACGTGACTAGAACAAGTCTTCTAAGACTAGAAGTTGATCAGATTTTTTTCTCCTGCTCAGTCTGTTCCAAATATATGCATATAATTCAATCAGACTCTCTGAGTGAAGACTCAGTCTGATCAGTCACCAACTTTCACGGATTTCGCAGGATCATGTGGTGAGCTGAATGAATGGTCCAACTCTCGTCACCTTCTTTTTGTTTTTGGTTTTGTTTTCTTGTGTTGTTCTGTTTTTCTTTTCATCTATGACAAGGTACCATTTAACCAAATTTGAAAGTAAAATAAAATAAACTTCCTTGTACCAATCAATTACCCAACATGCTAAGATTCTGGGTTTGTTTGGTAATTGATCGGGTAAATGAGATTATGGCAGCATTCTCTCATTAGACTCAATATTAGACTCATCTGTCACTTGGTGGGATGGGAGACGTGCTCCATTTCTCATCCTTTTCCAGCCTCAAATTCCTCCTATTTTATGTCATGCACAATCAGTAAAATCCCATAGTGAATTTTCTTAGCTTCATGGGTTAGGAGACTCAACCTAAAATCAGTTGGCGACGAGTGGAAAGGTCCATTATCTTTATATGCGTTCAACAACTCTTTACTTTTTTAAATTTGGGATGAACTCGCAACACTATACTAAAAAGTAAATGTGAGTTTAAATTTATAGTTAAAATTACTTGGGACATCTTCCAACCTCATAAAGAGTTCTCAACTTTAGAAAGAGAGAAATATCATTAGACTAAAATTGCAAAACTTTGATAAGATATGGGTGAAATTTACATAAAATTAAGAGGAGATACTTTTTGACTTCCCACTTTTTTTTGTTTTTATAGAAAGCAAACTAACTTCATTCAAATCAGATAAACATCATACAAACAGCCAAAGTTACTGAAAATTTGTAGTGCAAATAAATATCTACCATGTGAAATAACAGTGAAAGTAAATAATTTCAATATTTATTTCTGTGTGAGAAATGAAGCGTGCCAATCGAGGAGCTGACCTCTGTAGTAAAAATTGGTGGTCCATGGATCATACTATTTGGTTTGAAACTACATTAATTATGTGACAGTCTGGTTCCAATAACAGTATTTGGTTTGAAACTATAGAATTTGGATAATTCATTGCCAGTTGTGATTATCAATTCTTTTGATGTTATGATGCTCATTCTGCTGAAGCAGTAAGATGAAAATAGGCCCAGTAAGTGCTTGTCTTTGGTAAGAAAAGAAAACAACAAGGACCACAAGCTTGCGAAGCCCCAACAGCCAGCACTGGCATGGCTGCATGGGTTAGGAAATTTAGAAGAAAAAACAAAGAAAGATCATTAACTAGTTAGGCTACTACTGTAAGAGTAGATTATAAGAAAATTATTTCAACATCTCAACTACTTCATCATGCTTTAGTTTTTAATTTGCACCACCTCTAATTATATAACGACGCGTGGTGAATTGGGATGATACAAATAACAGTACTTTTATAATAAGTCAATTGCGTTAATCATTCTCCTTAAGGTTAAGTTCACACCAATAATTACAGCATTAGCCATGGATTTCACATAATCCCCACTGCTAATCATATATCCTCTTTCTGTGAGTTGATTGCAACTAAAATCAACATTTCTTTTTTGGTCGAAATAAAATGAACATTTTATGTAAAAACTAAGAAAGCAAAGAAAAAAAGAGATTGATAATGAGTAGCATTGGAATAGGGAAGATTCTTGTATAAAGAGAGTGTCTTCCTATGATTAGTATTATATTTCCTTTCCCTTTTACAGCAGAAGAATGAGTAGGGAGAGGGAGAGAGACAGCGACAGAGAGGCATAGTTGGTGAGCAGTCAGTGTTAGTGACCTCTGCCGACAAGGATTTCTGTCTCTCACAAAAAAAGAGTAATTAGGAGGTAATTAATATATTAATACCATAATTAATTCTGTCTACTTTTCTACTCACTTCACTCAACCATCCAAAAGTGAGAGAGAGAGAGAGAGAGACCCACAAGAATACTTGATTGTGAGGTGGTGGGTGTGAGTTGGTGAGTTTTGAAATTAACCCCAGCAGATAAAGAGAGAAATTTGCTAGCTGTGTGCAGTTTCTTGAGAAGAAAAAAAAACAAAAAAGAAAGATCTGCGGTGCAGAGAGCAGAATGAGAGCGGCATGCATGAAAAGATGCTGAAAGAACCTGTTATAGGTTTCCCCAATTAGGAAACTACTTTACCTGGAATGAAAAAAGAGCAGGTGACTAGCTATTTTGTCAATTGGTTGGTTCCCATAGTCATTACCAAATAGTACGGCTGTACCATATACCATTCTGCAATGTGTACAATATTTGTTTTTGCGACTCTTTTCACTAATAAAGATCTCCATAATTTATCTTCTCAATTTCGACTCAATTACAAGTAATAAGTAATTACGTGACGTAGATTTACACAAGATTTGTGTTCCGGAATAAAAAATGAGAGTTATTATTGACATTCTAGAAAAGTCGCCTTATATTTCTTTCGAACGTTTTTGTAAAGTAAGAGTGCATGATGATTTTTCTTAAATAACGATAAGAGTTCCAAAAAGAATAAATAAATAATTATGTGTAAACCATGTGGTTGTAAACAAGTGACTAGACAACTACATATACATAGAGACGATATCGATGCATACATCAGTTTCCAAGACCACTAGCTGTTAAATATGTAGTTTTTCAACTCCAAGAGGACTAAACAAGTCAAGGACCCTAAATGAAAAATGAGCCTAAAACTTGCACTGTTGCATCGTTCTCAAGCATCTTCTGTGTTGCTTCATGCCGACAGTCTTCTTTTGCAATTGGGTTCTTTCAACACCTTTCTTGCAATCATGGGAAGCATCGCCCAATTACTCTCTCTCTGCATGAACAACTTTCATGAAGCTTTGGAATGTTTAAAAGAGAAGTTATCCCAAAAACAAAGCTCTGTGATTTGATTTGATGGCAGAAAAGAAACCCTCTGATCCTATCTCCATGACCAAACCAAAGCTTGGAAAAAGACTTCCACTTCTCTCAGTTTTTTTTTTTCATGGTGATGTGGGGGCTCCACTTTTTCTAAGGACACAAAAACCAGAACCAAATAAAAGTGGATGAGATAGAAACAGTTAGAAGTGCTCCTCCAGCTCTAAAGCTTTTTATGCTTGAGGTCTTTACAATGCTGTTGTTGACCCCCACACTTTTCTGAAACTCAGCTTGCCATTCACCCAACCCATTTAGTGCAAAGCTCTCTGCTCCTCTCTGCAAAGGACACGTCATTGCAGAAATTTCAGGTCAAAAATCCTTTCTTTGGATCCCTTTTTGGCAAACCCTTCTTTTGTCATGGTCCAATGGTTATGCTAACAACCAACCATCTTAAGGTGGCCTCTCCAGTCCAATAATATCTTTGTCGAATGCTTCTGCCAAAAAAGAGAGGAGATAACATTAGCATAATTCTATCCAGCTAATTATGCAGCTCAAATGACTGTAGTTAGTGATTTCACATCTAAACAGAAGTTGTCAACACATAGCTAAACTTTTCTGGTTTGGCAGATTGGATAAATCCAAACTCCAAACCCACAACATTTCTGTGATTAGACTCGAAGAACAACTTGATTCAAGTCCTTCAGGAACCTAAAGAAAAGTAAAATTCAACACCAGAAGTGGAAAGAAACTGAAATTTTTATGAGTTGGGTTTTTGACTGGGCAGGTATTTTGATTGAAGAAGTAAAAGGCATGTCTAAGCATAACAAATAGAGATATTCATAAGAAACAAGATCGTTCAGTCATTTTATTGTCTTGGTACGAGGATGTTGATTGAATAAGACCTCTAGATAAGCAAATGAGGACCGCAAAACCCTCTGGCTTCTAATTCCTAAAAGATAAGCTGCAAGGTTTTGGGTGAAACCCTTCTCATGATTCTTCACCTACAGAACAAAGGAAAAGGGTTTGACTCCACACTTTAATCTAAAATTTCAGTTGGACTGTTGGACGATTTTGAAGATTAATTTTGCAACTTTTTCAGACAGAAAGTCAATTCCCTTTGTAGAAAATATACTTCATCAATAATGGCAACATGGAGGAGCTATTATTATGACAGTTGAATTACAGAAGAAAGCACCTTCTGCTTAGGATGCAAAAAATGGCTCCTGCAGTTTAAAAGCAAGATAATTGATGCAGTCAGTGATACCCTTGTTCAGAAAGAAGAAAAATCACATAATTGCTTTACGCAAATTACAAGCCAAATCAAAATAGCTACATAATCTATCCATGAGAATAAACTCTATTTTAGTTCTTTAATTATAGCTTAATTAGTTTAAACTCTATTTAAAAAAGCAAAAGGAGGAAAAAGAAAAGGTCAATCTGGAGACTTGATATTAAAACAAAGGAGAAATAATAAAACCTTCCCCTTTACAAAATATTATTTATCTCAAAGTACTTGAGGTACAAAAATTTTACAACATCCTTCCTGTTCTTAGCTCAGCATCCTCTTTCTTCACAAACAAGAAGTGTTCCTTTTCAGCAAACCCAAAAACTTCAAAATCATGCTAGGGTGAAAATGGGCAGTGGCTCAAATCATGAGGCTGTGCAGTACTAGAAATACAAATTCAATCCCTACAGTGTCCCTCTTTCCCTGACCTTACTGCCCTAAAATCTTCTAGAGAGTAAGTAAACAGGTACAACATGAAGAAAAAAAAAAATAGTGAAAAGAATTCAATAAATCCTACAAATTTCAATTTCTACTCAAGGAAAAAAAAAAAGTTACACTGAGGATGTATCAACAAGAACTTCAGTTAACACATCATCCTCACCGTTTGCTAAGGCAAGTAGCTCTGCATCCTTATCTTCATCACAGGAAAAATCCCGCCTCTCAAGTTTGGAATGAGCTGCAATAAAAATCAACTTCTGTGCCTTGTCCATGCCCACCCTTGAGTGCCCATGGGCAGACACCCATCTCAATAAAGACCAATTGCATTTGAACCCACATGAAGTTGCATGTAGGAAGATGAGCCTAACTGCAACTTTCCCTAGTGACTTAAATTCAGTGAGGTATGTCTCCCACACAAGCCGACTGCTCTGTGGGTTAGCAATTCTCATCTTGCCTGTAATGGGATCCCTTTCCTTCATCTGTACAGCACGTGCATATACCGGATCAAGCCCTTCTGTTCTCCATTTCATGAGTTCCATTAGTGCAATATGGGCCTCCTCCCTCGTCACAAGCCGGGTTATGAGCTTGTCCACATCCTTCTCCTGCTCTGGTGTCAACAATTTGAAAGGTGGAAGATACTTCCCACTATTATCCCTAATCAAATAAAGTGGATCAAGTATAAATGCAGCAGCCCAAGCTGGATGGTAATTCTTCTTGAACCGCCTTTCAATCACCTTCTCCACCGGTTCTTCAGCAATGTGGAAATTGGAACACCAATCCTTCACTTTTGCTCTTAGCTCATCCCAAAGTGGGAGGCATTTCCCAACCAGTGGCCTCTCTGTTTCAATTTCTTGAGCCATATCCTTGATCAACTTAACCAAGGAATGCACTGCCTCCAATTCATTCCAAAACCCCACATCCCCAATCATGTCAGCAACTTCTCTAGCTGTTGGGTCCTCCATGGACGCCACTTTATAAGATTCATCCAGCAGGACCAACTGAAGTGCTCTGGCTGAGCTCAGAATATCCTCAAGCATTACATGCACTGATCCAAAGTTGACCATTTCAAACTCACGCAAGGGCACTCTTAATAACCCAGCATGACCATATTCTTGGGACTGATACTTATGAAAGCTACTCCTAACCTGAGACTTGTTATTCACGAAATTTGCAAGCTTGAAACAATTTTCAGTCACAGCCTTAAACAATGGAAGTTCCTTACTGAAATCCTTAATCAAACTATTGAACCCCTGAAACTGACAAGAAAGATTAACCATCCAGTGATTCTGAGTCTCTAAATTCCTCAATGCCTTGGACTTAAACTTGTCTGCTACTATTCCTACACACTGCTGCACAACATTCCCACAGATGCTTGTCACTGTGTCCCACAAAACCTCCTCGGCATACGTAGAAGGCACAGAGCCACCCACAAACACAGCTCTCCTGTACAAACTAGTCCCATTGGGAAGATTCACAGTCAAATTCACAAGACCATCCTCCCCAAACGCACCAAAGCTCTTGTTCTTCCACCCATCAGAGGCAACCTGAAAGAACATGGCGTCTCTAATTCTGGCCTCTGACTCGGCCTTAGCTTCCTCAAACTTAGCATCGAGTCTTGACCCAGTGAACTCCCTCCGAGAAATCGCCGGTAAACCCACCTGGTTGAGAAAAGCTCTGAACTTTGGGTGCTCAAGGCTCGAAAACGAGACCGACCCACAAGACTCAAACACCCAATCAGCCAAAAAATCAAGCGCAAATTCCACCTGGGTCTTACTCAGCGTAGGCCCAGGTGAAGTTTTGGGACTCTTGAGCTTCTTCACACTGTCCTCCAGCATCGCCAGAGCTCCCAAGTCGTCTTTCCCACCGGATAACACCAAATGCGGCTGATGGGTCACAGCCGTTACCGCCGTCTGAGCCGTCGCCGTCGTCGGAGAGTAAGTGAGCTCGCCGCAGAACCGGGTCGGGTCCACTATCGCAAGCGGCGGAACATGGTACGACGACGTCGAGGCCGAAACCGAAACGGAAACCGAAGACGAGCTTCGCTTCCGATGGTTATGGTGGACCGGAGTGGGAGAAGGGGGCAAGTTGATCGTGGAAGAAGGCGAGAGAGACGAAATGGGTTTGGCGACGGAGTTGAAATTGGGGCAAGTCCCGCGCTTTAAATGCTCGGAGGCGGTGCGCGACGGGTTCGAGGCGGAGAAAACGGCGTCGCATAGGGAGCACCGGAGCTTCACCGCCTTGGGCAACCCAGTATCGGTGTTGTGGACCAGCATAGGCTCCAAGTGAGCCCAGTACCAAGCCCCTTTGCCCTTTATCGCTTTCGTCCGTACCATCACAAGCCCTTCGTACCTCTTGTGCACGGCTTTGGCCGCCGCCTCGTCAGCCGACGCTGACGTGTCCACCCCCAGAACTCCCACTGCCTGCGTGGTGGTGTTGGTAGCCGCCCATTACCGAGAGACAAAAAGGAGAAAAAAAAAACAAAAAGACAGAGTTGTAGGCACGCTAGCGAAATTTCAAGACTTTGAGGTCGTTGAATTGCAAAATCATGCAATTGGTCAGCCTCTTGTGACCATCGTCGTTGAAAGGAACACGACGGCGTTTTTGGGGTGGTGGCATTTGGCCGGAGAAGGAGAAAGCAGTGGGGTTGGGCGGGTCTCCATTACCCGACCCGGCGATCTGGATATCTCAGACTCAGACTCAGACTCAGACTGAGATGGGTTTGGTTTGGTTCACTTAAGCTTGTATATTTCTTTCTTTTTTTCCTTTTTTTTTGTTTGAAATTTTCTTGTTTGAGAGGCTCTGTCTCTCAGAGAAAAGAGAAATAGGGACAAAACCCAAGTGAAAGAGATGTTATGTAAGGTGCTCAGTGGAGGGCACGTGACATCACGCGCCACCACGGTGAGCGTGGGGAAACACTGGTGCGTTTCGTTGATGGAATTGGAAACTACGACCGTGCGGTCACCGTGAGGTAATATTAATAATGCCAACACTCACAGTCTCACACGGACAGAAACAGTACCTGACATTGATCATCACCCCCTCCTCATTGGAGCGTGACCCGCACGTGCCATGCAGGGTTTTGGGGTTTTTGTTTTCATAAATTTATTTTTTTATTTTATTTTATTTTATTTTATTTGCTCTCTTTACTTTTCTTTTCTGTGTGTTGTTGGGTCTTGTTTGTGGGTCCTTGTGGGGAAGGGCTTTCTTTGTCTGTTTCTTTCTTTTTCTTTTCTTTCCGCAGATTACATAATTTTATTATTTTTATTTTTTCTCTTGTTCAATTTGAAATTTTATTGAATTTTTAAAATATTTTTAAATGCGAAAAATGGGGACCATTTCTGATTTTTTTTTCCCCACAAGTTAATTTAGGTTTCCTATTGTGACTTGTTGTTCATGTGGTTTTTATTCAGGATGGAGACATAAAAGGGCAACCTAGGAATTCAATGAATTCCAACCAGTTCCTTCTGGGCCAGTGTTGACCAAGACAAGGAAGGAGAATTTGCCTTGAAAAAGGTCACCAAATGCCCTTCTCTCTCTCTCTCTCTCCTCTCTCTCTCTCTTCTGATTATTTAATGATGTCACAGATATTATAGCATTGTTTTATTTACCACAATAATTATATTATATGATATGTTGTAATGCATCTAGTACAGTCTCTTCTTTTTATATCTGTTTACTGTTTTCATTTTTTAGTGTGTAATTTTAAAAGCCTCAAAGAGTAGAGTAGGTGGGTAGCTGCCATTCATGGCCCAAGTGAGAGGCTGTGTGTACATCTTGACACAATCCCTTTTCATTCATGAACTTGCTTTTTTATATCGGATCCCTGTCGTTAATGTTTTCTCACTCACAACCTGTCATATATCTGTATAGTAATTTCATTTAATAAGGATATACTTAATCTTCAATTTGCTGTTAATTTTATTATATTTTTCAAAAATTTGTTGCGAAATGCGTCGAGTTTGAATTCTAATTTTGCAGATTAATTATAAAAAAAAACGACGATCACGTTCAAATCTTCTATTTATTAACTGAAAAATAACGAGTAATAACTCTGAGTAGAGATATACAGAAATATGGGGAGTTAGATACAACTCTCACCCTCCCTGATTTTTGAATTCGGTTTTAGGGCATTGTTCCAGATAACCAAATTGAGCACGAGTTGATTGGGAAATTAAATAGAGTTTCTTTTAGCCTCCAAAGGGTCCATAAGCTAATTAAGTATTAATCAAGATTCACAACTGATGTTGTCAATAAAATTGACCCAGTAGTCAATTCCAATGGGTCAATAGCCACATGCCCAACTGTCATCCACATTCAGATGACCCAACCCATAAAATGGATTTGAAGTTTTTGCCTTCAATTACATATAAAGGATTCGATGTCTTTAACCCAAATTAGTTGGTCGTGTTGTCTTGTTCACATTTAAATTTTAAGTACCACTTATAAATAGAGGCATTGATTAAGCCTTAATTAAGGTTTTTGGTTTTTAGTTTTTGGTGTTTTTTTCTCAATCACATATAAAGGATTTGATGTCTTTACCCCAAATTAGCTGGTCGTGTTGTCTTGTTCACATTTAAATTCTAAGTATCACTTATAAAGCCCTAATTAAGAGTTTGGTTTTTGGTAATTTTTAAATATAAGCGATAGTCTAAATTAGAGGGGAGATGAATTTCTCACACACACAGAAATGATGCCGTGATTTAGTATTAAAAAAGATGATTTGTAGATCCTCTTGTTTTGGCTCAACATATACGGCAAAAGGAATGCCAACAACATTGCAATTTTGGTAAGAAATAAATCCCTCATAGGCTTTGTCATTTTCAAAACTTGATATTTCTCAAGAATGGCAAGGATGTTTTTAGTTTTAAAATGCAGAGGTCTTTGTCCACTTGGCTATTTCAGGTTCTCCTTTTGGATTTGACAAATCTGAGATTGAACACATGTTTATAATAAACCTTGCGGATATAGATTATGTCAAATCTCAGATTCAGAGTTTCATTAGTGAACATGATTTGGCTCCTCTTCCTCTCCAAGCTCCCAGTAGCTTCTTACCTTTTTACTTTTTTTATTGAAGAAAAAAATGTAGGCTATGATGAAATATTGGGTCTACCACCACCAGATGGTGAATGGTTAATTTGCTCAAAAGTTTACGCTATCATGAAAATTTGAAATGATGGATTTATTTATTCAACATTTGGTACAAAAACGACTTTCACTAGTAAATTATTCAACATTTGGTATAAAAACGAATTTCAAATGATGCTCAATCTGTTATCTCGTGCTCTGACGCGGTTTATGTTAATCGAAATCATACTTGATTGATCCTGTTATAGATAATATTGAATCTCATTTGTTTTTAGCAAGTATTAATGACGTATCTATCTATGTATTAACACTTAATTCATTTGGTGAGTCGAGAATAGTATTATTATTGGTATAAAATTATTGTGATTCAAAATTTGATTTGTTAATATTATAATCGAAACACATTACGTGACGTTAAATTATCGCACACAAAATAAGACTTATAAAATATGTACTGGATCATACATACACTTTTGTAAGAAACCATACACTTTGACCAAAACATGGATTAAACACATACACATTGATTTGCACCATCTATTAAAACATGGATAGATGCATGGTTTTTGAAGTGTTGTAGTCTCCGAACTCATTCATTGGCCATTATTAACTTTACTTTGGTGCAATCTTCTTTTGTTTTCTTGTATTTTACATTAGTGCAATCTAACTCTCATAAACTTTGATTATTTTTCTTTTTTCTGTCATGAACTTGGAAGCTTGAAAGAAAACTGAAAGGATTCAAATCCAATTTCTATTTGCCGTATTTATTTGCAAATCGCAATGTTGTTTTGGTTCTGAGCTGGAACATTCTAAAAGTTTTTGTGTAAACACCAAAAAATTATATTGTTGTTTCCTCTTGAAGCAAATATGTGTCTTGTCCGACAAAAGGTTGAACTGTCCAATATGAAGGGCACATTTGCCAATTTAGCTAGGAGGTAAGATTGAATCAGGATATAAATGACTAATTCATTATAAGAAAATAAAGGGTTAAATGTTTTTACCGTTCTAATCAACTGAGCTATTCGAGCTGATTATCTTAGTTTTTTAGATTCTCTCAAATTCTATTTTTTTCCGTCAATAATAATTTCGTTTAGCGACATCTAGTTATATTTTACTGAAAAAAGTCCTGAATTTAGATCCATGTAGAAGAGTTTGTAATAATACGGAATTGTCGGGTTGAAACTAGGTCAAGGTAAAATCGAAGCTTTGAAATCAACTTTGAGTTGTTAATGGATGATAGTTTCTTATCCCAACTTTGAGTTGTTCTCATCCATGAGTTTGTGTCTGCTTAGGAACCTAAATCCGTGACGAAAGTGAGGAGAGATTCTTGGATACAACCGGAGATGTATCCCCATGCTGGTAATGATTAGGTGAGGGATCAAAGCCATGTGTAAATGGCAAGGATTAAGAAGCTGACATTCCCCTAATGATTCTTCCATAAAAGAAAAGCCATGGAATCCTGGAAATGATGAGAAAGCTCATTTTGAAAATTCACCTGCTCTTCAAAAAGTAGGGGAAAAAGAAAGAAGAGAAAAAGCTGGCGGCCAGATGAAGCACATGATTGATTGCATTTGCAGGGGGCCACTGTAATGCGTTTAGGTGTAATTTGTACTGCTTTACTTCAACTCTGGGAATTAAGATTTTGTCTGCTACAGATGAGATGATTACCTGATGGGTTAATTGGCTATGGACCCTTGATTAGCGTCTGATTATTATGATGGAAATGCAATTTCTTTTTTATTTTTGGAAGAAAAAAAAAGAAGAAGAACGAAAGAAAGAGAAAAATATATTCGAAATTGTAACAGGGAAGACTGGGCCGCATGGCATGAGCCGAGAATGGCGGGCTAACTTTCAAAAAAGTTATGCTTGGCGCCCACCGTGGGGCTCGAACCCACGACCACAAGGTTAAGAGCCTTGCGCTCTACCAACTGAGCTAGACGGGCAATGTTTGGCTGGACACCGCCTTATTCTTATTAATAGGAGTCCCACATCGGGAAAGTATAATAGTAATTTACACCTTAAATATAGGGGTTTCATTGATAATAGCACCAAGGCCTTTGGGATAAAACCCCACACCTATAATAACCAAAAAATATATATTGGATTTAGGTGGTTAAGTTGGGGACAATATTGGTGCTAGTGGTGGGCTTATGCGATGTTTGGTAACTAGCATTGTATAGTGCCGGTGGGGTAATCCTACGAGTGTTCGATACTAACACGCATTAGTGTGGGTGGTAGGCCTATGCATTGGTTCGGTGTACCAACACGCATAAAATGAAGGCCCCCACTATTAATAGCACCGAGGCCTTTTGTAAATTTTTTATTCGCATCCTCATCTCTTTGTATATTTACTACAACGTTGAATTTATCTAGAGACCCCAAAGACAAGAAAACAGTTGTGATTGCTTTTGGTACTCTTTCAAAGTCCAGCATCTTCCACAATTTAAAAAATCAATCTAAATGCGGTGTCTTCAGTCCATACACAGTTGCATAAGCTTAGAACTCGAAACTGGCTCCGAAGAAATGCTATAACAAGTTTTAAAACCTTTTCAGTAGTTTTTTTTAATTGGATATGGCACATGGACTTGAGGCTTCAAATGCCATAAGCCCACATGGCCCATCTGGCTTTAACAAATCGATCACCAGGAGCATACAATTTCATAAACTGAAAGAGAATGGCAAGTTGAGATGTGTACATTTCATATTTTGATTTCATACTCCGGCTAAAGAAACACCGGCAATTAAATTTCGGGATCACAAACACTGCACGAGTTCATAATATTATAATTTGAACATACTGCCAAAAACACAAGTCTGGACTCTGAACCTTACAATCTAACTGATTTTGAATCATCCCCTCCCCCCCCCTCTCTGAAGCTACCCAAAATCACAACTCTGAAAAACCCAAAGTTAATCTGCCCCTGAGCCACTAAAAGCTTCTACTTTACCACCCTAGCATGGTGATGTCAACTTGAAAATCAGATGTTTTGTAGAGTTGCCACCAGTGAGAACAATACCGAAAGGGCATTTCTGCAGGCAAGGTTACGCAGTCTCCATGTTAATCAGATTTAAGATCTACAGTAGAATTATTATATGAACCACTGTTTTGGACACCAAAACTTTCCTCTTTCAACTGATATGGATCACCTAGATTGGTTAGACGGGAGAAACAAATGCAAAATCCAAGATAAAAAGACCTGTCATGCCAATTCAATTTTATAACTGACAGATAATGCATGGTTGGGGGTCAGAGGCGGTTGCCTAAGGCCATAAGCAAAATATGGGGAAAGTGTGAAAGTAGTCCTGGAAGCAACTAATTGATAATCTCAGGAGAAAAGGTTTTGCAGGTTTACCTTCGTAAGGATCTTCTTCTGATACCTGTATCCCTATTGGAATTGATCAAGAGTTAATGATTGCCAAATCAATCAGCTAAGATCATTAGAAAAGCATACCATGTCAGTTCCATAAATGTAATCACAGCAGGTGAAAACTGAAGCAAAATTGCTATGGCTTTGTCCTCCAACATAGTGTTGGTAATCGTGGTACTCAGCACCTCCAGGGCAAGCCATCACTGTATGATAAACCATAGATTACAACTTGATCCACATCAAATACAGTGGTCAAACTTCAGTGCACAAGATACAAAACAAGCGTACAACGAGCAGATATTGAAAAGCCACCATACGGTTCTTGAGCTTCCTAAAAAAATATAAAAATAAACAGTATGGAATTAGTCATCGCAGACTCATACATGCAATCCAAGCAACTACCCTGAATTCATAGATTGTAGCAGTCTAACTAGCACATACAAGTTCTAAGGCTTCCTCCTCAGCCAACCCACTAGGGGACTAATGTAATACCCTATGTGACTGAACTAGCTCTTTATCCACAAACATTCCACCTATAAGGTGGCAGAAGCCTCACTAACGTAATTCTCTAGCCTTAACCAACAGTATGCAGTTAATCTCATGGGTCTTTCACCATAGCAGTTGCCAAAAAATAACTTTTCATTTTTTTGTTTTAGATCGGTAATCACCTCCTGTATTCGGAGTAACTTTCAACATTACAGGCAACCCACCACATGCAGCTGTGATCAGATACAAGTAAGACAATCGCTTCCGGCAAAGGATTTTTTTTGGTATCAGCCCTTTCCCACGTCTCTCTCTGAAGTGCTACCATAGTGGCATGAGGAAAGTATACATATCTGAATTATTATGTTAACAATAAGGCTTAAACACACCGATCAAAAATAACATTCAACGCACAAAAAGCTGACTCAGAAACCAAAATTCATGTACTACCTCTTACAGATAAACCAAACGCATGTAGTGCTTGTATAAAAGCTTGACGATCAGCATTTAAGCATGAAAGTTGATTTGATAAAACTCATGCAACCTCCGCTTGAAGAATGTTTTATAACTATCATGGTGCTGAATAAGACATTATTGACCAACATTCAACCTATTTGCTTTTTCCCCCATAAATTTTATTTGTCGATGTGCAAATGATTACTTTTGCCAGATCATTCAAAGAAAAAGGCATTATTGTACTGATCCTAGACCCCGTCATTGAAGTGAAGGAACTGTTTAAGATCCTTCAAATTAAAAGTACTTAGCATAGAATTCTATTAGTAAGGAGAGACAGGAATTCCAAAGTTGTCATTATTCAGTCACAATCAGCTAACGAAGAAAATGACCGCAAGCACCAAAAAACAAAAAGCAAAATGCAGCATGTATACCCGCTGCGTGTTTTCAATGGCCCCAATCTGCTCCACAACCAGAATGTGACCATGTGGCCAGGAGCATATGGTGCTGCAAACCCAAATGGAGCAGTGTACTTATGGTGAACTCTGTGGATTTTCTCATACCCCAATTTGCTATGCAAAAATCTGTGAATGCAGTAGTTGGTATAATCTTCTACCAAGAAATAAACTAACAATTGGAAAAGCTTCTCCCATCCAGAAGGCAATGGCGATCCCGTTCGAATCCCTATTATCTGCTTGTAAACAGAATCTAAGCATATTCAAAAATATGCCCAAAGAGAAATTATTACAGGAAATAGAGGAGAGAAAATTACACAAAACCTATAAGAGCCCCAATTCCACATATTCAACATTCTTCAAAACCACGCAATCCAAATTCCACAAATTCTATCATTTTCAAAACCCAGCAAACCCAATTCCACAAATTCAATCATTTTCAAAACCATGCAAACCCAATTCACAAATTCAATCATTTTCGGTATCCCGCAAACCCAATTCCACAAAGTCGCAGATTGGAATTCAATGAACCCGAAAGACGAAATCCGAACCTGGATAGAAGGGTAAGAGACGAGCTGAAAATGGCCAACAACGAGAAGGAACATGCGCATAACATCCTTGTAGCACTTGAGCATTTCGTAGAAGGGCAATCAGACTTTGGGCTGGATCTTGTAGCTGTCGAGGCCGGCCCATCTGAGAACCTCTGCGAAAACGAGAGGGAGAGGGACGACGGAGAAGATGACAAAGAGGAAGAGAATGTTGTCGGCCAGATAAAGCACATGATTGCAGGGGCCACTATATGTATGTAGGTGTAAGTTCGACTGTTCGAGTGGTTTACTTCAACTCTGAGAATGAGAATCACTAAGGAAGAAAGAAAAATAAAACTGACGAAGAAGAAGAAAAAGATAGAAAACACGAACCAAAAAGAAGAAAAAAAATTCGAAGTTGTAAGCGGGAAGGATCATGGGTCGACAAGGATTTTCAAAAATTAGTCTCGTCTACAACCGCGGGTATCGAACAAACGACCGCGATGTTAAGAGCTTCGCGTGGAACCAACTGAGATAAACGACCTTTTGTCGATTAATTAACGCATTATTCATTTTTATAGAGTCCCACATCGGGAAAGTATAATAGTAATTTACACCTTAAATATAGGGTTGTTATTGATAATAACATCAAGGCCTTTGGGATAAAACCCCACACCTATAATAACCAAAAAGTATATATTGGATTTAGGTGGCTAAGTTGGGGACAATATCGGTGCTAGTGGTGGGCCTATGCGCGGTGTTTGGTAACTAGCATTGCATAGTGCCGGTGGGGTAATCCTACGAGTGTTTGATACTAACACGCATTAGTGTGTGTGGTGGGCCTATGCATTGGTTCGGTGTACCAACACACATAAAATGAAGGCCCTCATTACTAATAACACCGAGGCCTTTTGTAAATTTTTTATTCACATATCCATATCTTTTTGTATAAGATTACATATCTTTTTCAAATCTGGCCAAACAAAATGGGATTATTTACTACAACGTTGAATTTATCTAGAGACCCCAAAGACAAAAGGCAACAGTTGTGATTGCTTATGATACTCTTCCAAAGTCCAGCATCTTCCACAATTTATGTTTATTCAAGCCACTGAAGGCAATTGGATCACATAACTACGGGGCCTTTTCACCGTAGCCATCTTTCTCGCTTTCAGAAAACAGTTTAACCAAAAGGCGATGAAAACATTATAAGCTGGAAAACTTTATGCGTTAGAACAGCAAAAAATAATCTAAATACAGTGTCTTCAGACCATACACAGTTGCATGAAAGTTTGATGAGCAATGCTATAACATGTTTAACAACCCTTTCAATAGTGTTTTTTATTATTTTATAAATTGGAAATGGCGCATGGACTTGAGGCTTCTAATGCCATTTGGCATTAACAAAATCGATCACCAGGAGCATAAAAGTTCATAAACTGAAGAGAATGGAAATTTGAGATGTGCAGATTTCATATTTTGATTTCAAACTCCTGCTAAAGAAACACTGGCAATTAAATTTCAGGATCACAAACACTGCACGAGTTCATAATATTATAATTTGAACATACAGCCAAAAACACAAGTCTGAACTCTGAACCTTACAATCTAAAGTGATTTTGAATCCCCCTTCCCCACCCCCCCAAAGCTACCCAAAATCACAACTCTGAAAAACACAAAGTTAATCTGCTCCTGAGCCACTAAAAGCTTCTACTTTCCACCCTAGCATAGTGATGTCAACTTGAAAATCAGAGGTTTTGTAGAGTTGTCACCAGCGAGAACAATACTGAAAGGGCATTTCTGCAGGCAAGATTACGCAGTCTCCGTGCTAATCAGATTTAAGATCTACAGTAGAATTATTATATGAGCCGCCGTTTTGGACAGCATTACTTTCCTCTTTCAACTGAAATAGATCACCGAGAGTGATTAGAAGAAAGGGACAAACAAATGTAAAATCCATGATAAAAAGACTTAGTGCATCAACGCATGAAACTAGTCCTAGAAGCAACTAACCAGTTACCAATTTCTGCCTAGAGGGGTAAAAGAAATCCACTTACTAAATCACCTGAACTATTATTAGAGAAAAAAAATATCAACTGGTTGCATTGATTAAGTACATGTCGAGCTATATCAATCAGAGTCTTGATTTCCCATATGTTCAAGAACTAAAATGTCAATCATGCTCAACCAAGATGCACAATACTTAATTGATAATCTCAGGAGAAAAGGTTCTGCAGGTTTACCTTCTTAAGGATCTTCTTCTGATACCGAAATCCCTGTTGGAATTGATCAAGAGTTAATGATTGCCAAATAAATCAGTTAAGATCATTTGAGAAGCAAACGCAACATCAAGATAGTATTTTACCTTGTCAGTTCCATAAATGAAATCACAGTAGGTGAACACTGAAGCAAAATTGCTCTGGCTTTGTCCTCCAACATAGTGATGGTAATCATGGTACTCAGCACCGCCATAAAATGGGATATATTTTGTGGGAGTCCAGGGGAAGTCATAACTGTATAATAAACCATTGATTACAACTTGCTACGCATCAAATACAGTAGTCAAAACTACAGTGCAGAAGATACAAAACAAGGATACAGTGCAGATAATGAGAAGACACCATCTGGTTCTTGAGCTCCCTAAAAAAAATTTAAAATAAACTATATGGAAGAAGTCATCGCAGACTCATACATGCAATCCATAGCAGTTAGTCCTTCCAAAAAATTACTTTTCATTTTTTGTTTTAGATCTGTAATCACTTCCTATAATCAGAGTAACTTTCAACATTACAGGCAACCCACCACATGCAGCTGTGATCAGATACAAGTAAGACAATCACTTCCGGCAAGGGGCTTTTTTGGGTATCAGCCGTTTCCTCCAAAAATTTTATTTGTCAATGTGCAAATGATTACTTTTGCCAGATCATTAGGAGAAAAGGGCATTAGTGTACTGATCCTAGACCCCATCATTAAAAGTGAAGCAACTGTTTAAGATCCTTCAAATCAAAAGTACTTAGCATAGAATTCTATTAGTAAAGAGAGAAAGGATAGGAAGGAATTCCAAAGTTGTCATTATTAAGTCACAATCAACTAAAGAAGAAAATGACCGCAAGCACCGAAAAACTAAAAGCAAAATGCAGCATGCGTACCCGCTGTGTGTTTCAATGGCCTCAACCTGCCGCAGTGCTATCCATGACCAGAATGTGACCATGTGGCCAGGAACCATTGCTGGACCGAGAAAAGATGGGATGCCAAGGATCAAAATCTCAGCCCAATGAGCATATGGCGCTGCAAACCCAATTGGAGCAGTGTACTCATGGTGAACTCTGTGGATTTTCTCATACCCCCATTTGTTATGCAAAAATCTGTGAATCCAGTAGTTGGTATAATCTTCGACCAAGAAATAAACTAACAATTGGCAAAGCATCTCCCATCCAGAAGGCAATGGCAATCCCGTTCGAATCCCTATTATCTGCTTGTAAACAGAATCTAAGCATATTAAAAAATACACCCAAAGATACATTATTACAGGAAATAGAGGAGAGAAAATTACGAACTTTAATCACCCTGTATAGGCACAATAATCTCATTAAGAAAACTGAAAAGCTTCGTAAGAGTAACCCTTACGTTTGCATGAAATGTGGACATTTTTTCTCAAAAATTCACATGCCTTACGTTTTACGCAGAATGCAAAGCCCCCCCACCACACAAATCCCATTACACAAAACCCATAAGAGATACTAAAATAAAAGGAACTAACCCAATATTTTACAAAACCCCGCAAACCCAATTTCGCATATTCAAAAATCTTCAAAACCCCGCAATCCTAGTTCCACAAATTCAATATTCTAGGAAACCCCGAAAACCCAATTCCAAACATCCACTACTTTTGATAACCCAGCAGACCCAATTCCACAAATTCAATCATTTTCAAAACCCAGCACACCCAATTCCACAAATCAATCATTTTCAAAACCCAGCAAACCCAATTCCACAAATTCAATCATTTTCAAAACCCAGCAAACCCAATTTGCAAATTCAATATTTTTCAGAATTCCGCAAAACCCAATTCCACAAAATCGGATATTGGAATTCAATGAACCCGAAAGAAGAAATTCGAACCTGGACAGAAGGGTAAGAGACGAGCTGAAGAGGGCCAACAACGAGAATGAACATGCGCATAACATCCTTGTAGCACTTGAGCATGTCAGAGAAGGGCAATCGGACTTTGGGCTGGATCTTGTAGCGGTCGAGGCCGGCCCATCTGAGAACCTCGGCGAAAACGAGAGGGAGAGGAACGACGGAGAAGATGACGAAGAGGAAGAGAATGTTGTGGAGGTAGAGCACGTAATCGGACTTGGAAGCCGAGTAGTTGAACCACAGAGTCTCGGCAAAGGTGAGGTTTCGGCCCAGAGCCGAAGCGGCCTCCTCGAGAGTCTGGTAAGGCAGCATTGGACGGCCGATGGTTCTCCGACAAGTATGATCAACGCCGGCGATTGGCGATGAGCTTGATGGTGGAAGAGAGAGAGAGAGAGAGAGAGAGAGAGAGAGAGAGAGAGGAGGGGGGAGATTAGGTACACTTAGCTGCAGGGGTGTGGGCTGGAGGAGGTTTTGTTGGTTAAAATATGCGGGAATTTTAAACAACCTTTTAGAGAATCGCGCAGTGGGCAGCACACAATTATACTGACAGGGATGATAATTTTCCCAACTAGTAAAACTATTTTATTTTTTACTTTATTTACTCATCAGTGGTTTCATTTCTATAAATATGATTGCCAAATATTGAGATCTATGTTGATTAGCAAAAATTTCGTGTGCAAAATTGAAACGGAATTGAGATAAAGATGCCGTGTTTTTCTCATGTTCGTGTATAAATAGAATTGCCGAGCTGGACATTTGACCCCAAATTTATATAGAGCACAATTAACACAAATTGATACGTTGTCATGTAAAGTTATGCTTCTTTATATAATGTGTATTGGACTTTGTGAGTAGCGTAGTTAGAGATAATATCAATATTGCTAGTTATGGGCCGTTGATCCATTTCTCTAAAATTTAACAATACACACATTATATGTTATATTATCAAACCGTAAATTATTAGCATTTTGATGGATTAAATGTGAAGAATGGTTAATATAAAGTTTTGAAATATTTGAATATCAATGATGGGGCATGCCATAAAATATTTACTGCAAAAAGAGGATCTGTGGACCAACATGAGCCTGAGGAAGATCATGTTAACATGTAGCACTTGAAATGATATAAAAAGTCAAGTGCGGGTGGCTGGAGATTTCTGCAGCTCCGTGGCTTCAAAAAGAATGTCGCATCTTGGTTGCGCCACGTCAACAGTGGAAGCACGTGACATGCATGCATGCAAGCTAACTCTGAGACTTTTGAGTTGGAAATTAAAAAAAATCATTTAGGTTGCTTCTAGCTGTGCACTAAGGAACAAGGGGGAGGTCGTAACCAACGAAGCAAGATCCAGTTCTTATTGAAACAAACAAACTTCGAATTTCTTATTCTATTTCCAATGTTTTATATATGCATATTTTCTGCATCTCATTGATGGGATGAAATTGGTTAAAAATTAGCGGTAGGGATTAAATTGGCGATAAAATTTAATATCAAAGTTAAATTGGTAGGAAAAAAAATTTAGGGTGAATATTTCGATAAACGTGATATTCAAGGTGATTTTTGGCAAATAACCCTTGATATTTTGATTTTCTTAATTTCAAGTGGGGCAGATTGTATTTATGGGGAAAAGAATTGCAGGGAAATGTTGGTCGATAGAGCGATGATAAAGACTAGAGAGTATACAAATTCCCTTAAAAAATTAGGTAAAAGTGGGAACTATGTATGGTTTTATCTCATCAACTCATTTAGTTGATTCATTAGATGATAATCATGTAACATTATTCAAAATATAAATATGGAACTAGAGAATGATGAGATGATAACAAATAAAAGGCTTCATTTTTTAACATATGGTTTTATTGACGATATATTCTGGTAAGATAATACGGTCGTCAACGATTTGACAAAAATATTTATATATAAAAAAGTTATTGATATGTCGGAATCTCTTTATACATGTGTGATAAAGAATAAAGAAGTGGATAATGAAGATCGAATTTGAGACTTCTTACAAACAAAGTTCTGATAACATTATGAAGAGAGCTTTGTCGAACAGACTATAATGATAGGTTAACACGCAGGCTTTGGATTCAATTAAAGTAATAATTAATAGAAATAGAAATCCAACTTTACTCAGTCAGCATTCGCTGACCACGTTGTAAAACCCATGAATGATTGTATTGAAACATAAAATCGTGAATCAAGGACTTTGAGTCCCATCCCACTCATCTAATCAGATAGGCTGATTATGAACTATGCAGATTAATAGTAGCATAACATAATCACACAGTATTGAAATGAGAAAAGAACTTTATGAAAAGAAGAAATATAAGTCGGCTGATGATCATGAGAAAGATAAAAACCCTAATGCTCATCCGAAGAAAAAAAACATGATTTTACTTTAACCCACCCCCCACTTTCTCACTTTTATTCAGAAGTCATTATTTCCTTTGATGTTGAATTGAAACTTGAAAGTTTGCTTCATAATGGATATATGCAGAAAACGCAGAAAACGAATGGAGGGTTAAAAAAGAAGATGAAGCATGAGAGCATGACTACTTTAGTGTGTGAAAATGATAGTTTATTATGGACACCACCTTTATGCAGCTGCATTCCATCATTCAATTTGTTCTCTCCAAGTTTCAAGTTACATCTCTCTCTCTCTCTTATGGACACCACCTTTACTTTGCAGCTGCATTTCCATCATTCAATTTGTTCTCTTCAAGTTTCAAGTTACATCTCTCTCTCTCTCTCTCTCTCTCTCTCTCTCTCTCTCTCTCTCTCAAAAATTGAATAATGCTAGTATTCTTCATACCTCAAAAGTTCATATCTTTACAAGAATCTTACCAAGTCTACTTTCTGATTTTTATTCCAATGGTTTACTCATACAGTCATAACTTGTAGACATTTAGTGGGAGCATAAATAGTTAATACCCTTTTAAATTATTAATTTGCTGTGAAATGTGAAAATTTTCGATCTCATCCACATGTTGTTGTTGCAACAAAGCTTTCCGTAATGGATTGCGTAAGACTGTTTGGTTAGTAAAATTGTGAGTTTTGAATTCTACAACTGAAACCTAATCTGGTTCAACTAGTTTGGTTTGGATTTATCATTAAATAGGTTGAATCGGTCGTGCTAAGGTTGCAATAGGAATGTCGATCCCTACAAAAAAAAACTTATGTACACTAAAATATCACTGTAGCCGTATCTCAAGTCAATTATACACCAAACACTGACATTCCCGTACCATGGAAAATTATTCTCCAAATCCACAAATCTGTTGAGTGAAATCAATTGAATGGACAAAGGACAAAATTATGTCAAAGTAGGCATCAAGATGGGCCAGAGCTTCACATTGTGGTGTGATCGGCCCCCACCAAAGCACCATTGATCAGGTGGTACCATCTCCTCCTGTGTTGAAGTGGTGATGGTGATGTGACGTGTGCAAATGATTTGGTGCGTGGACTATCTTGACTCTAGCATGGGAAAGCCGACCTCTTTTTCTTATGCCTTGTCGTATATAAGATCATGATCTTTCATCAACTTTTGCTAATCCATGCTGATTGATTAGCAAAGCCATGCCATGCGACTGTTAATCTCCATGCTTTCCTCAAAAGGGGTTTTGTTTTTAGAATCAAGTGAGTCATTCTAGTAATTTGCTCCTACGACCATCTAATCTAAATGTTCTTTTCAAGGTTTCCACCATCATGATATTGAGAATCATTGTGGTCATTTTTGACCCAAAACTTGTAAATGCCCCTTCTCCTTCTTGAATTTACTTGTGCGTGAATCATGAGTGACACTCGGTCAAATTTGGACTTGCATGAGAATCTTTTTCTAATAGCCTTTCATCCGCTACAACTCAGCTAGCACTTCTGAAAAGAGAATTTCAAAATATTTCTCCAAATATAGATATTAATATTAGTGCACATATAGATATTAAAATTAAACACATGCTATTTTTTAACTGGATTATATTACCATTAAATACTATCACGTGACAGAGATATCCCCACTAAAGTTTATCTCGGATATAATGTGTTTGTTCAAATGCTTGAGGAGGTCTCGCTTTTGCATAAGATTGAATTATTGGGGAAGGAGGAGACAAGGAAGCAGTGTTCTCGTATACAGTGGCTGTAACATGGAGATCGTTATACCAAATATTTTCATGCAGTGGCAAAAAAAAAGGGCATGTCAATAATATTAAGGGGTTGTTTGATGACAATGGACAATGGTTAGAGAATCCAAGTCAAATACAATCGGTGTTGCTGTCATATTTATGAATCTTTTTTGTTCAGAGGAGGGATATGATATTGACGTGGTTTTGGTGGGTATTGAAACTTATCTTGCTATTCTAAATGGGGGAAATGGAGCTGGATGGTCTTAATCATACACTCTGCACTCTGTCTTGCTATTCTAAATGGGGAAATGGAGCTGGATGGTCTTAATCATACACTTATCTCTCTTATTCCAAAGATACCTGTAGAAACTGATTTTTCCTTATATTATTTATATGATCATTATAGTCTGTAGAGAATAATCTACAGTTACAAGTCATTATCACAAACATAAATATGGAGTTATGGCCTAATAACAACGTAACTGACAACTGACCATTTACAATCATTAGTAGGATTAACTATTGTAACTGAAATACTATTGTAACTCCATAACACTCCCCCGCAAATCGAGCGCGCACAGCATAGCAAGATTTGAATGAAGAAACCACATGGTGATGGAGATGGCAGTAGCAGTCGTCTGTAGTAGTCTAGTAAGGGAAACCAAAAAAGAAGAACTCCAATCTCCAGAGTTGCAACAGCGGCATGAGAGAAACTAAAGTAAATAGATCGCCCATTGAAAGTCAGCAGGTGAAGGAGCGCATGGGCCCATGGAAGGAGGGAAAGAGTCTCTCAAATAAACATAGAAAAGATTATCACAAGAGGATAAAGGCCCATATAGATTAAAATAAAGAGGGATGATTGACCCAAAAAACAATAATAAGAAATAAAGGAGGAAACCAAGTGGGACAGATAAAGGAAAAGAGAGTGTGGGCAAAACACAGAGTTAAAATCCTATCAAAATAAAGATGGAAAAAGGAGAGAAAGAAAGAGACACCTATTAAAAGTAGTCAAGAGATGGAGAGAGAACAAGATGCAATAGACAACCCATGAAAGGGAAAGGAAACTCAAGAGGCCAGAGACAACCCATGACAGGGAGAGAGACAACACAATGGAAAAGAAGATAAGAGAATAACCCAGTAACATAAAAGAATTATAAAGAAAAGAAAACAATACCCTTGTAACAGAGAAGAAGA